CCGCGTTTTACTAGTCCGCGTTTTACTAGTCCGCGTTTTACTAGTGCAGTCCAGTCCAGTCCAGTCCAGTCCAGTCTACGATATACCATATGCCGCTTCAACGATCGATCCACATTTTGTCGAAAGGTCAGCCTCAACGAGCAATCCACACTCTGAATCTATGATTGCAAGCTTTTCTTTCAGGCACATGTAACTCAATGGTCGAATTATTTACCTCAACGGGCATTGCTCGAAATCAATCGATATTTCAACGTGCATTTTACGTGATGTCATCACAGGGGCCCCGGATATAAAAAACACAATCGACTGCGCATGTCTCCGATCTTACATCCAACAAATTTTAGCTTTTTCTCGCTATTGTAAAAAATAGGCTGCTGCCTCGCTAGGGCTCGCCAGCAAAAATTAATGAAAAAATCAAAAGGAATGATAAAAGCGAAGAATATAACGTATGAAGTCTCCTTACCTTTTTCCCGTGGCCGCCTTCTCGTTTACGGTCCTTTTAACGCTGTTTTGGCGACTTTCTTTGCAACGCGTGTGGTACCACCAGTCAACGGTATATAGAAAAACACAAGACTGGAAACTTCAACCGGTCCCGAACACCAACCGTCGCGACTCGAAGGCCGATAAATTCCATAAAAGTCGACCCATCTCCCTCAAATTTCTCCACCCGCGAGAGCGATTTGCTAATACCTACCCGTCCGAGTGGCTTGGGCTGCCTGTGAGACAAATTGTTCGATATGATTATGTCCTCAATCTCACGAATATGTCGATGTTATCGAGACTGAGATCAAGTCGTACACGGAAGCATTAACAAAATTCCCTATATAGCTATCTCGTGTGGTGCTTAAGCTGTACAAAGGAACGTGACAAAAATAGTTCTCTCATACTACTTGTCTATAACAGAATTTTAGAAAGCTTCTTTCGAAAACCAGTCGAGCGTCACTTTTAATCCTATTGTCGTCCGAAACCTATTTTAAAAAAAGGAGGAAGGAGAACCGAGTCTTTTACAGTGGGAGAAATGATATTTCCTACCAAACTGCAAACTTCTAGAACTATCACAGTGGTAGCGACGAGCCATTTTATCAGACCAAACGGAAGTAAATGAATCGTTCAGTTTCGTTTGGCCCCTTCTTCTTTCATAATCATGATATGAACAGTATAAATTGATTCATGTTGGCGTCTCATTAAACGTATCATATTCAAACTTTCAGTTCAGAGATCCGAAAGGGAGATGACTTTCAGCACATAATGTTACAGCTAGATAGCTTGTGGGTCCTCTAGTATGTAGAATAGTGATCAATTATGAAATTAAAAACCATCAAAGATATAAATCGTCTTATATCAATCCGTTTACGTACCTTTGCATAAAAATCGTGGCGCACTTTTCTTCGGGTAACTTAAACTGATGTTATACAGCAAGAATGATTGTAACTTATTTGATCGTTCATTCAGGCATAGAAGTATCCGTTTCAGCTAAATTTCCGGTAGCAAAACTGAAACGCTTATTACTATAAAAGGAATGCCATTATTGAATGGTACAAATGCTCTGCACTTTTGTCTCCAAATTTAGATATCTTCGAGTTCTTAAAATTCAGTAAGCAAATGGATTCCTAGACTTTTCCTCTAAGAAGTTTACAAGACTTCTTAGTCTTGTAGACTTCGTTCTATACGACTAAATCTTGCGATGGTAATTTAGGGGTAGAACATTTTGACGGAATTTGTCACACTTACTTAATTCAGCGCTAATTAAACGTTCCGATGCCCAGAAAATGCTCACTTTCTACTTCCTCGTGCGGGGACCAACTGAATTATGGGCAGGTTTATAGCGAAATAACCTTACAATCCATTGCTGGACTTAAGCTCGTGCAGTGTATTGTAAATTAATTATTGGTTACCAAAATTAAAGGTAAAGAAAATCATTATAAAACAAGCCATCACTGGCTGAATGGCTTCTTATTGGTCCACACTAAAATTTTACTATTTTATTCTTCAGTTCGATATAATTTTCCTTATGCCTAATAAAAGTAAAGTTTACAAAAGAAACTTAGTAAGGTGCAAACTATTATTACCAAATTTAAATCACAAAAGTGTTGTTCAAGTCTGTTACTACAATTGACTGAATAAATTAAATGTCCATCTACTCAAATTTCAATTTAATTTAACGCTCGATTTGATGACGTAAGTCGAACTAATTATAACAATGCTTACCATTCTGTAAAAGCAGATAAAAGAACCTGTCCACATACTACCTTTACATGGGACACTCAATAGTAACAATTACTCATTTTCATCTCATTCCCATGAAGTAAAAGAAAATGTCCCTTTAATTTATCTTGTATGAAGCTATTTTTAAATACAGTTATTTGTAAATGAATTTTTTCTTTCTTTTTCTTTTGGTCGTTTTCTAATACTTTTTTTTTTTCTTTCTTTTATTTTTACTTTGTTTTACCTAACTCTTCGAGTCCTCTATGAAAAAGTAAATGTCTAGCTATTTGTACAAATCGATCAACAACTCGCAAGTCTACGGAAAGGTTTAGTCAATGAGTAAATTTGTAATCTAGTAAACATAATTCAACTATACCTGCTGTTAAAGATAGAGGAAAATATTAACGAAAAACTTTGTACCAAACTATAAAACTTCCCATACGCAACCGGATAAAAAACCCCCATTTTTCACTAAAATCGGTTTGAAAATTCTAGCGCACTACTCACTATCAACATTTCTCATCAAAAGTTACAAATTTCTCATCAAAATCGTTCCTTTTACCTACAAATTGTGTTTGAGAAAAAAAAGGGAAGGGAAGAAGTTTCCGACTTCTTCACTTGTTAATCCTTGAAGCAAGATCATCCTGCTTCACTGATATCCAGATGTCCTTGACGTTCTTCTCTAACTTCACCAGATTCGAGAAAAAAACATTCAAGCATTATATAACCCTACATAAGTAAACTTTCTAGCCCGAGACTTGACGTCTAGAACTTCCAAATTACAAAGAATAGCTCACTCGCGTATTATTGACCTACGTTTGTTACAACTTGAAACGTACATATTTGAGTAACCACATTGAGGATGACCCCCAATGCGGACTTCGAGGATGGTACAAATAACAAACATCAACTCAAAGCATAATAATTTGTTCTAGGTAACCTATTATACTGAAGGCATATCATTTTGCTATGTACAAAACGTAACCTGGAAACTGAACTGAGTGCAACAACGAACACTCACAATGAGTAAACCAGGAAAGAATTACACCTGGTAACATACGACCCCACTGCCTCACTTATATTCGCAATACCAGATTTACAAAACTACTACGATTATCATAAAAATTTTAAAAACAAATTTATGTATGAGCTAAAAATTTCACTATCCGGAAAACTACACGTCTTAAGAAGTTAAGAACTACACGTCTTTTGAAGTCTTTTTCAAACTAACTACATTTACTGATTTCCTTCATTTCAAATTCCTGAACTACCATGTTTTAGACCAAAAGAAATGACCCCAAAAACACGTACAAGTTCATATTTAGTCTTGGAGAAGTATGTTACAGACAATGTGATTTTCATCTCCTCCATTTAAGTGTTACTTGAAACTTTGGCAGTGAACGTGTTTTGAATTTACCCAAACAGGATCTATCTTCGCGAAAATTGTCTTCAAATGGGCTAAAAACTCGACTTCAGACGCCACCGCCACTTTGATTTTTGCCGAGCTATATGGGCGCTTACCTGTGACATGATAAGTTTTACTTTACTTTTCAAATTTCTTGGTGATCTGTCTGAACAATATAGAGACTACAAAAGCGGCATTCTCGAATGACAGCCAGAAGAGAATCAGCTGTTTTTGAACCGTACGTTAGTTTTAGTTCCGTTACCTGGTTGCTGAGTTATCATGGCATGGAACGTTTGCGTAAAAAATTTTCGAGAGATAAGTTACTCTATAGAACCTCCAAACAAATCAAGTAGTAAATTTTTATGTATACTTTTAAATGGGGGAGATAAAAATCGAATGGTCCCTGGGAGACACTTCTCCTTTCATGTTTAGTTCTCATCTAATCTAATTTATAAATTTTCAATGTCTCTACTTCTAGTTAAAGTAGCCAGGCCTCTGATAGAATCTGATACATTCCTCAGCATCGTTTCCTGTGCGTTCGCATGTTCCTCAAGTCGTCTGATCCTTTCCTGGATCCTCACAAGTTCCTCACGTTGGTTACTCCGCTCATTTCGCAGTGTGTTAAAATTCGCTTGGTGAGAATTAAGATGTACTTGAATTTGGTTTACTCTGTTGTTGATGTCGCGGACCGTATTTTTTAACTGATCGTTTTCTGACACTAGGTGTTGAATGACAATAGCGATGTCGTTCGTAACCTGATATCGGTTAGAAAAGCAGTGAGTCAGGTAAGCAACCTGATTTTCAAGGTCGATTAACCTTTGCTCGTGTTGATCAGAAACGTTAGGAGCTGAGATTCGCGGGGATGCGGTGTTTCTTGTTATGGTGTCGTTGAGAGAGGGGTTCATCTCCTCTTTTAACTCCAAGCTATTTTTGGTTGAGTTTTTATTTTGTCCTGCCATGTTACCAGAGAGCAAGAAGTTGACCTGACGAGGAAGGTTGGCGTTTATTTGCCCTTTCTACAAAGAAAGTAAAACCATAAAACCTAATTATTCCGTTGGTTCCTTCATCATCTGCCGTAAATAAAGTTCATTTGGAAAGAAGAGATGTGAAGCATAGTGCAGCAAGGTATCAACAAATCAATATTTACTGTTATTTTTAACGCAAACAACTTTTCTTGATTGATAAATATGACACACTGACTGAAATTATAATCTAAACAGAATAAAACTCAAAATCTCTAATGCTAACTTTTTCTCTCACTCATGACTTGACTTTGGTTGATCACATAGTGGTTACGCTTGGAAGCGAAAAGAAATGTAAATGAAGTTGCAATGAACTAACAACTCAAAGTTTTTCGTCACCTCCATTACATCGGCACTGCCTCGTTCATTGCAGGATCGCCTTGTCTCAATTCTACGGGCACGTTCTTCTTTAAAGTCCCCGGGACGATCAGCTCGACACACAGATATCCCTCCCTCATGACAGTCACCTGTTCCCCTGGTTAGGGAATAGTTCTGTGACAAGAAAAAAATATCCAAAATGGGTCTGTCACCAATTGAGAAATGACACTTGCATGACTTTCAAATAAATTGGATTAATAACAAAGCAAATAAAGTTGCAATAAACGAATATTACACTCGAAAATTATTAATTACCGATTCCTCTGGAGGCCAGGATCCTGAGATCCCAGGCTGAGACGAAAATTTCAAAATCTCGAAAAAATTCAGTGAACAAAAGACAGTAAAACTACCAAGACGCGGATGTTTTAAAAAGTTATGACCACAATCGATAATACAAAGCCACTGCATTTGGACAAGTGCATCGCGTTCTATACCGAAATTCACAAAGCTTATGCCTGCGGCTAACAGAAAATTTAAATAGAATGATACCAAAATTTTCACTACGAAGGTGCGAGAATTCCTCAATCCGCCGACATTTCCGGGATGGAAGGTCAGAGCTCTTCGAGAGAAAGGTTAGGGAAAAGACCAAATACTATGTGAGCACTTACCGTCCAATGTGAAGAGGAGCTACGCAAAATTAAAATTTTAAACTTTCCGCACATTTCTTGCGTCTTTCAGAAAAAAAAAACCCTTCAGATTATCACAAAATGAGGGAGACTCGGTGACCTAACGGTTAGTGCACTGGACTCCCGAGCGAGAGTTCTGGAATCGAAACCTGGCCGAGTCATTCTTGGACAAGACACTCTTACTCACAGTCCCTCTGTCCACAGAGGAGAATAAATGGATACCGTCGAATTTTTCAAAGAATCCTGGCGAAATGCAGAGGGTCAAAATCTCCGATGGACCAGCATCCCGTCCGGATGTAGCAGTACTCTCAGTCATTTCATGCTACACAGTCCGAAATAGGTTCCAGTGCCTTGTGGGCCACTTGGATCGGGTTCAAATTTTACCTTTACCTTCACTCCTTCCCTGCCAAACAATGACAGTCGACCACTTTCATGATTGTCACATGAAACTTAGTTACGAAACTAGCATTGGCGTTTTGAGGCAAGATAAAATGAAAATACTAAAAGAACCCATCACTCCGGTAGTTTTAAGATGCTTACTTAATTTTTGATTCTCGCTGCAGTGAAAATCATTTAACTCACTGAGCTTTAACTCACTGTTTTCTATGTGTTTAGTATACAAGTTTTAAAAAAAAAAAATACTGAAGGTGTGAAGGTGTGTTGCCTGTATGCGATATTGGGCAATAACACCGGCTCATGACACGGCGAGAGGTATCATGGACACTTTGAAAGGTCACGAACCGGTACTTGTGTCAAATACCACGACAGGTCAGGCTATTACCAAAAATACATATCGCAGTTATCAAATGTTTAAATGCAAACATTTGCATCTAAATAAAGACAGCGAGGGCGACGAGGCACAAAAAAGTAATCGAGGCTTTGTCACCTTTACAACTTTGGCACTGCTTTGTTAACGCCGGGATCGTCTTGTCTCCGATTTACGAACACCATCTCTCGTTACGTGCTCGGAAAAATCAGCACCTACCCCAAACTCAGGACAGGCAGCTGTTTCGCGGGTTGGAGGATGGTTCTGTCGCAAGACAAAGTAATACGGTACAAATTGTTATCGCCTGGTTCTACAAGTGGGAAAACGATTGAATGTTCATAATTTCCCTGAAAATAGATAAAATAAGATAACAAAAAATTGAAAATGTAGACTTTCTCTAAAAGTTTTATCCAAACTAAACAGCTCACCTGAGCTTCTTGGCAGTTAGCAGGCATGGGACGTTGGGTGTGCGAATCCTGTTTCAACATAAATTCCTCACGTTAGTCCATATGCTGTGAGCCTTTATTCAAACGCTTCTACTCAAATCCATTGGGTAAAGTGCTCTCTGGGTAAAATTTCGAACCACTTAGTGGTATAAAGAAATATACCTTGTCATTTAGATGTTTATCAGGTTCGGTTCCAATATGAATCTGCCAAAAGAAACTTTAAGGAATATTTCAATAGCAAGCTATTGTTCTTTTGATTGCAAACACATTTTCCTATTGCATTCGGAAGTACCACGACGATAAGAAGAAAGATGCCAAACTGACTAACCTCAACAACGCTATCAGAGAGTAAGGATTCTCTTTTGTCATCTGTTTTGTTGGAAAGTGTTTCATCGCTCTCGCACTCCTTCTGCTCTCCTCTTTGAATGCTGGCCAAACTGCAGCTTCCTACATGACTCTAAAATGTGAGATGCAAAATAGCCATAAATACAAAGTTGGAATTTTATGACTGAATTGGATCAAGCCTCCTAGGACTGCGTTCCATCTTTACTGGAGTGGGAGATGGTGGTTAACAAATTAAG